CGAAGCTGCGTGGGCGCGCGAGAGGAATGAACCCGCCGTTGTTAGGGCGAAACCGAGACAAATGCTTCTCCCCCACCCGCCCATCCGGAGGTGGCTCGCGGTGTCCCGTGGTGTCCGCCGTTGCTAGGGCGAATGCAAAAAAAAATGTTCTCCCCCGCCTGCCCGTCCATCCGTCCGTCCGGCGGTGGCTCGCGGTGTCCCGCGGTGTCCCGTGGTGTCCCGTGGTGTCCCGTTGAGTGAGATCGATGGTGAGATCGATAGTGAGATCGATGTGGTGCCCCGAGGTGTGCAAAAAATGAAATCGATGAGATCGATAGTGAGATCGACAGGTGTCCCGTGGTGTCCCGTGGTGTCCCGTTGAGTGAGATCGATGGTGAGATCGATAGTGAGATCGATGTGGTGTCCCGAGTCGTTCCGTGGTGTCCTATGGTGTCCCGTTGAGTGAGATCGATAATGAGATCGATAGTGAGACCGATAGTGATATCGAGGTGTCCCGCGGTGTCCCGTGGTATCCCGTGGTGGCCTGTAGTGTCCAGTGGTGTCCCGTTGAATGGGATCGATAGTGGGATCGATGGCGAAATCGACAAGTGTCCCGTGGTGTCCCGTGGTGCCCCGTTGAGTGAGATCGATAGTGAGATCGATTGAGTCAGGTGTTGGTCCCCCCCTCTCCTCCCCCCTCCCCACAATCTCCTTATCACCCGAAACGTGGTCGTACAGGTGTGTGTGTGTCTATATCTATCTATATATGTTTAAGACATACCGTGCGGGCGCGGCCGCAAGAAACCCTCATAAGAAACCCAACACTGAAAACCCGCGATCGAGGTGCGCCTGAGGGGAAGCCTGAAGCACCCTGAACGCAGAAGCTTCTTCGGCGGCTGCGGGAAATCACCGCGAAGCCAGGCGGAGCGAACAAAAAAACAGGATACCCTGACGAAAAGCATGTGGTGTCTTGATGTGCGCCCCCACTGTATAATATGGGAATGTATTTAAACATATAAGTCGTTTATATATATATATGGTATATACAGATGTGCACACTACGGTGATGGCATTCGATGAGGAATCCTTCGATAAAGAGCCCAGGGTCTGGAAGCCAGTGGAACTCGAATCGCAGAGTGGCCATGGATATCACCACCGCCCTCATCAGCTAAGGAAGCCTCCAGGGCCTGACGCCTCCTGGGCGCGCTCCTGAACGAACGCCCCACCGTGTCGCACATCGTTGCCCGGGCGGCACGGCCGAGCAGAGCCCGCCGCCGAGCACCGTGCGATGATTGCTCCGCCCGCGCGCGCTGCCCCTTGGGGCGGGGGGTGGCCGACGCGCACCGAGCACACGTTTGCGTGACGCCGGGAGTCCCGCACGGGCTCCCCGTAGAGGGTGCGCCTCCCGCTGCGGATCACCTCGCCCGGGGGTCGACCACAAAGCAGCGTTCTGCGTGCTCGCTCCGCTGCCTTAAAACAGGGCCAGGATCGGGATAAATCGCTCCAGAGCGTTCCGGAGCGCTCTCAGAGCGTTCCGGAACGCTCTGGAGCGGCCGCGGCGCCCAATACATCCTCCAAACCCGCCGATTCTCAGAGATTTCGAGTTATCCTGATCTGATTGTGACCCGATATTCGCGTCGTTTTATGCCTCCTCGGGGCGCTCTCCATGGAACGAGAGCGGTCCGGCCGAGGGCCAAAAACTGCGCCTCGGCGCAGGTCCGACGCCGTGAGATCTGCCAAGACGACAAAGATGAAGGGGCCCAGGGACACACACACACACACACACACACACATCAATACACACAAATAACAAGACTGCCCATATTTCCCATTTTTGTTTCTGGGTTTATGTCTTCCCCCCTTCCCATATTTCCCCATATTTCCCTGGGAGTCGACGATTCATTGCGTCTGTGTGTGTGTTCTTTCCCCTCCTGAGAAAGAGGAGAACACGCCCTTGGGGGGCTGGAAGGACGAGAGCACGACAGAACCGACGAGCAGCACGACGCCGACCCACGGGAGTGCCAGGCCCGCGTCTCGCTCCGCCCCCTCGCCTCGCCCAGGTGCCGGACGATGCCGAGGAGGGCCGCCGCGCGGCCGCCGCCGCCGCCCTCGCCCGCGAGCCCGAGGCTCGAGGCCAGGCCCTGCGAGGCGGCTCCGAAGCTCCCGTCCAGCCCGCGCCCACTGGGCGCGCGGGACGCCGGCGAGCCCGGCCCGCCCGGCCGCCTGGCCGGGCTGCTGGGCGAGCCCGCCGCGGGCGAGCCGCGCCGCCCGCCGGCCGGCGAGGGCGCGCCTGCTGGGCTGGCCCGCCGCGCCGCGCGGCGCCACAGCAGCTCGGGGTGCGTGAGGCCCCGCTCGAGCTCCCGCAGGTCCACGCGGCCGCTGCCGTCGTCGTCCAGCAGCTGCAGGAAGTCGTCGACCTCCAGGGGGGGAGCCGCACAGGGGACCTACGCGCCGACCCACGTACCTGAGCACGGCCCCAAGATATGTGAGAACAACCTCGTAGTACGAACGCTCGCGCAATGGGTTCCTACTTTCACGACCAACGTGGATTCTTGACCAGGGGCCCGCCCAGGTGAGGTCGAAACAGATGAGGTCGAAGGACAGCGCCGCATCGTCGGACGCATCGGCGACGCCGGCGCGGAGAAGATCGGGCTCCACATCGAGGCACTTCGCCGATACGGAGGGATCCTCTGGCCCCATCTGCTATGATCCCATCGGGCCGGTCTAGACGAGGAAAACAACACACGGGTTGGGAGGAAGGGGTTGGGAAGATGAAGGGCATGTGCAATAGCATCCGGATGCAATGCACGATACCTTCGGCCGCCTGCGGGTAGCGATACTTTCATTTCTCCCAGCCCCATCCCCCCAACCCGATAATTGTGCCCCTGACCTCAGACCTGCTCGGGGCCGACGCCGACGCCGAGCCGCTCGAAACCCTGCCTGATCTCCGCCCTGTCCAGCGCGCCGTCGTGGTCGGAGTCCAGGGCGTCGAAGAGGGACCGCACGTCGGAGACGGGCCTCCCGCGAAGGCTGCGGCGCCCGCTGTGGATGACCCTGTTCAGCTGCTCAATGACGTGCGGAGGTGGGCCGGTCGAGGCACCGGCGGTGTCCCTCCCCGGCGTTCTGCTGGGTCGTTGCTGGGCTTCCCGCCACGGCCAGATCCGCCTCGAAGAGCAGAACCTCGGGACGTGTCTGGGCCGGGGGGCCCGATGTTGAGCGGATCTTGGTCGGGCGGTCTGGGGACGCAGCAGTGGGACAATTGAGCCATGTGGAACCTGCTCTGGGACAGGAGCACACCGTAGACGAAGATGCCGTCTCTCCGACCTTGCGTTGCACCGAGCGCAACGGCCGCATTGTATACAGACGCATCCACCCCGAATGTGTCTATACCTGTAACGACATCAGATGCGTCCTTCCTCAACCCTTGTTGCAAGGAACTGGAAGCGGTATTTGGCATAGGCTCCAGATATTGGTCTCCCAGACGCAGGGATACTCTGCCCGTCGTCGCCCTCAAACGCCGCCGTCCCAACCTGCGACCAACTCGTATGCTGGGTCAGACCAGACATAACCCACCTTGGCTTCCACTGATAGCCCCCTTGACTGGGAATGTGAGAAGGTACCGGCACCGCTGCTCCCCGGACTTCTCCCAGGGTGCGGTTTGACCCAGATTTCGAGGCGAATCCAGCGGTGGCGACGAGGCCCTCCCAGGAGGCCCGGAAAGAGCAAACGAGGCAAGGGTAGCGATGAGGGTACCCTTTCCGCCTCCGAACCTCTGATCGTTCCCTCGATTGTAGCAACGCCCGCTCCAGTCCGGGTAGGCTGGGCGCGAACTTATGGGGTGGCGATAAGCGGGGGAGGGGGGGAGAAAGGTACCCTTCTCGGGCCCCAGAGGACCCCCTCTGGGCCCCAAAGGGCCCCTTCAGGGGCCCTGAAGTGCAGCCCTCGCTGTCCCTCCATTTGGCGGACTTCGGAAACCCTAACCCCAAAAACGTTTTCATCTCTTGGGACATCGACTCTTGCTTCCGCCGGCTTCATCCAGCCTTCCGCCAGCCTTCCGCCAGCCTTCCGCCGCCGGAGCCCGCCTCGTTTTACTTATGCCGACCGTCCGCCGCCGCCTTCCGCCGCGGAAGAGATGACAACTCCTTCCATCCTCGGAGGCGGGGGGGCCTTTCTGGAACGCCTCATGTATCGTCCCCCCCCCCCCCTAATTACGCGGCCTCCAAGCCCAGACCCCCGACGTCGTGAATTTTGGTTCCAACGTCGACCCCAAGAGGTCTGAACCCCTTCCCCGGGACAGTTTCTCGTCCTGGATCGTTCCCAAACGGCCCCGAGGCCCGGCAAGGGCCCCCGGAGGTCGAAAATAGCAACAACAAAAACCTCCGCCGTGATTTTTTCATGACTCGAAGGGGTCTGCGACTCTTGCTCCGCCCCCCCTCTGGCGTACAGCCCGACCTTCACAGTGGCGGCCTCCCGTGCCGCACACCCTCGGAGGCCAGTGTCTGCCACCCGCCCCTCGGCTCCAGAGCTCGGGCCTCCGAGGGGCCGCTCGGGGATGCCCCGCCAGAGCGAAGGGCGGCGCGCCCGAGGGCCTCTGAGACCCCCACCCCCCGCGGACCTCTGCTCTCCTCGAAGGCTCGACGACCACCTGTCTTTCGACGGCATGACTTTTGTCATAACGTCGCCTCTGGAGGTCTCGATCCGTTCCCCGGGACCAGCTTTTCATCCTCAGTCGCTGTTCGACGTTCCCGAGGCCCGGTCAGGGCCCCTGAAGCCCCGAATAGCGAGAATCCTCCAGCCGTGACTTTTGTTAGGGGGCCACGTGCGAACCGTTCACTTCGCTCGGGAGCTTCCAAGCGAAGTGACCCCCCCCCCCAGAAATCGTGGGGGGTAGGGGTTGTGGATGCCATGACGATGGACACTCTAACAATCCTAGCGTTGTATTAAGCCTGTGTTCAACATGTACAAAACATGCTCTAACATGGTTTCAACCATGTTCGTACATCGTTAGCACATGCTTGAGACATCCTTTAGACATCTGGAAAGTATTGGGCAGCATGCCTCCTCTCCGCCAACCGACTACCACCAGGCAGCTGCGCCGTCGCAGGCGCGGCCGCTGCCCCGCGCGGCCCGCCTCCGAGCCTGTGAAACGTGGGGGCCGCCCGCCGCGCGGCGTGCCTGGCGCCCCCGCGGCCGTAGCGGCCGGCCAGCTCGTGCAGCAGCGGGTGCGCGGGCGGCCGCGGGCAGCCGCCGCGCGTGCCCCTCGCGGCACGCGGTGGGTCGGCGGCGAGCGACAGGCCGGCTCGAGCAGGGGATCATCATCGTCATCAGCATCAGCATCATCTTCATCAGCATCATCAGCATCAGCATCATCATCAGCATCATCAGCATCATCAGCATCATCATCAGCAGCAGCATCAGCATCATCAGGAGGGGCTCACCTCAGCACTGCATTATTCGCGCCGACGCTGCGAAACACATGCGTGGAAGGATGCACAAAGGCGTTCCACTCACGCTTCGAGCACGCGAGCAGGGTCAGCCTCGAGCAGGGGAGCGACCACAGAATGGGTTTACCCCTACATGGATGTTCTCTTCGGGTCTGCGAGCGAGGCGTGGGATGATGCACGGGCGTTCTGCACAGGCATCGCACGCTCGACGAGAAGACCAAGGTTGGGGCAAACCAATTCTGCAGTCGATCCCCTGCTCGATTGGTTGACCCAAAGGGGGGGTCCAGCGGAAAGGGGGTGGTGCAATAGATTCGGGGCAATTGCACTGCATGTGCAGTTGCGCCAGAGAACTGTACAGCATGGTATTGCAACCAATGTACTGCACGCGGAGCTCCAGCTACACATCTGCGTACCAGAACGTGTTGCACGCCCCCAAGACTAACGATCGTACCCCCCGCGAATCTACTGCGCCAAATATGTTGCACCACCACCCTCTTTTCGCTGGACCCCCTTTTGGGTCAACCAAAGAGGGGGGAAGGTGAAGAGCAAAAGACGGCGGGGATTCTCAGAAACCCTTCGGCCTTTGTATGTGTCTTCAGGGAAGGCCTAGAAACCCTCTCAGAAGGCCCGGGGACTTCCGAGCATGCTGAGCAGGCCCGCCCCCTCTCGCGTCCACCTGGGGCTGGCCGCCGAGTTGGGGTGCATTGGCTGTCCCTGGGCGCGTGGCTGGAGTGGGGTTCCTCGTGGCGGAATGCGGTTACGGTGTTGCGTTGCTCGTTGTTGGCTGTTGTCGTCGTCCTCGCCCGCAGACCCCCCGCGACACCCACGCGACCCACCTGGCGACCCACCCACGACCCTAGTGGCGACCCACCCGCGACCTACCCCGTGACCCATCCCGCGCCCGCCCCCAGACTCGTATCCGCAACTGCAGGGTGCTACGTAGGATGTTCCGAACGGTTTCCAAGGGCGACCCCGCCCTCTTCTTAGCGAGGGCCTTGGAAACCCGCACCCCGGTGGCCCATGGTATGGCCCTCTGGCGCTCTCCTCGGGCCCCACACAGGCCCGCAGCCGCCCCAGAACGACTGCAATATGCCACGGCGTCGGCCAAATGCGTACCAGCGAACTCCCAGGGGCCCAAAGATGCCCACAGGACTCCAAAACGCCCCCCAGTAGGTGCCCAAGGAAGGTTCGAGCGACCATGAGATTGCGTCGGGAAGGCCTGAGAGGGCCCAAACACGCCCCCAAAGACGACCCAACAACCCAGCACTGCCCCACAGAAGCATCAACCCGGGTCCAACACGGCCCAGGACCCCCCGAAAACGGAAGATCGCCCTACGAAAGCTCCAAGACGGGGACAAGCTACGACCCCCAAATGGCTCCACCACGCCGCTTCGGAGAGTTTGGTAGAGCCAGCGCGTCCAAGACGGCTCCAGGACCAACATGATGTGCGCACAACAAACTCTCACAAGGCAATCAAACGAGTGCCAAGAGCCCCAAAGAGGCCCAACATAACCTCAGAAGGAACCTCCATGACCCCTTCGAGGGAAAGAAAGAAAGAGAGAGAGAGAGAGAAGAGAGAGAGAGAGAGAGAAACAAAAGAAAGAGAGAGAGAGAGAGAGAAGAGAGAAGAGACAGGAAGAGGACGAGGACAAATGACGGAATCGGAGGAGCACGAGGCCGAGGACATGGAATGGGTGCTTGAGTCTGGCGCCAGGCGCCAGTCCAGTCTGGGCGCTGCACTAGAGCGGGTCTGAAGCTCCTCCTCCTGCTCCCTGCTTGCGCGGATGCGTGAGCACTGCGGCGGGAATTCCGCCGCGGAGCAATTCTGTCACGGAGCAGAGCAGGCCCCGACTGATATTGACGAGCCCTTCACCTCGTCATCGCTCGGCCGTCCATTCCCTGTGCTTTGTTCGGTTTCGTGCGTGGATTTTGTCTCGCCAAATGATCAAGGATGCTCGTCGGTTGTCCTCGCAGAACAAACAATGCACACGTCCGAGCGATGCCGAGGTCACCCGGCGGGCGGGGCGACCCTTCGGGCCACTGAGATGCATCCTTGGTTTGTTAAGGTTTAGGGTGTTTAGCTAAAGTTTAGCGAACGTATAAAGTTTAGCAGCAGTTATCCAAAACAGAGTTATAAACTTTATAAACGTTAGCGTTCGCTTTAACAAACCATAAAAATATAACGTGTTCATAAGTTCCTTTGTTACTTCTCACGTCAGTTTGCACTACGTAGGTTGCACCACGTAGGATGCACCGCATAGGTTGCACCGCACTACATAGGTTGCACCACTACAGGTTGCACCGCTTAGCATGCACCACATAGGTTGTACCACAGCACATAATGCACCACATAGGTTGCACCACATAGGTTGCACCGCATATGTAGGGGCGGGCGCGTAGCACCAGGTCCGCCGCCGAATGTCGCCTCTGTATCTGTCGTCGTGGTCGTCGTCGGGGCCCCGCGGTCTCAGCATGCCGCTTTGGGGAGGAGGAGGAGCAGCAGCAGCAGCAGGTGCCTGCACGAGGAGGAGGAGGCAGCAGGAGCAAGAAGGATGTTGAGGAGGAGGAGAAGCGGAGCAGCCCCCCTCATTTCTCATCCTCCTCCTGTTCGTTGCCTTCAGCCGCAATGGCTTAAATGCGCAGACATCGTTTCTGGATGGGCTGTGCGGCGGGGCTACGCGAAGCGTATGCGAATTCTTTTTTCCTGAGCGCAAAGCGCCAGCAAAGCCAATCATGAAAACTCAAATGGCAGGATAGTGCCGATGGTGCCGTCTGCGTACACGCAGTGTTCTACTGCAGCCAAAATAGCTTTGGTCTCCCAGCACTCCACTGGAGTCTCAGAAAGTCCCCACACTGCCTTTGCAGTACCACGGATGCGCCGAGAAAGTTCCATAACCTCCATCATAGAAACAGCTTCTCCACTGACCTCGAAATGCAACTTCCCGCGGGCGGCAAGCGTGCCATCGGAGCCGTTCAAAAGCACAACGTCCCCTTGCGTGCATAAGCCGAGCTGGCTGAAGCGAGAATATTTGCCTATGTTCACTGGGATAGCATCACCTTCCAAACCCAATGCGTCCAAGATCAGCTGTCTGCTCTTCTTGGGCGCCTTGCGGCCCTGCAACAAGCTGACGTCATAATTGAAAATGTGGCTCTTTATTGCTGACAGGTAATGGGCAGCGCATTCGCTCGGCAACGACTTGCTGGCTGACCCAGAGATGTTCGCCAGCTCGGTGGCGTATCTCTTTGGCATTCTATGCTTCCTCTCAAAGACGAAGCAGTTCAAGAGCCTCCCGTTTCTTTCGAGTAGCTCAGGGAGGTGGAGAAGCCAGTGGCGTTTTGGTGTCAAAGACTCATATCCAAAAGCAGCAGTGAAATATTCAAAACACTTATGAACACAACCTAGAAGCCTCGCTGGGCCCACGTCGATCCGACTGGTTGCAACTACCAGCTGCGACAGCTGAACGCAAGCTATCATAGCGTCGCAAGCCGCATTGGCTGCCCCCATAAGTCGCTGGACCGTCTGAGTGAATAGCATCAGCACGCCAAGAATAGACAATAAATCAGGCGCCTGGGATTTTACGTGTTGGGCCTTTCTGTGCTGGTCCTTCCGATCAGCATTGAAAATGCTGTCTAAATGCGTAGCGTGAAACCTTCCAGGGAACACCCAAGTTGCCAAGAAGCCAGAGAATGACTCCTACACGCCATTAAGCCCAGCAGATATGAACTCTTCGAAAGTAAGGTGTGTCACGAGATTCACAACACAGTCGACGAACAGCGCGTGCATGTAGTCATGCATAAACACCTCTGTTGGGTTGATCAGCCTGTCTAAGGCTCTATCGAGCAGTAAGCCTCGCTTAGCAAACGTTAAGCCCAGCGCCTGCTGCGACATAACGAACTCTTCATTAGACAGAGTCCGCGACATGCGCTCCAGATACCTGGCATTGGTGCGAAGCTCATGGTCAGTGGACGCCACGAGCTCATCGAGATGTATCTCGTTGCAACGCAACATGGCTGAACCACCCTCATCAACAACCCTTGAATCGGCTGTGAACATATTCTTACAAAGCATACAAAACTTGGACGCGCCGTCGCCCCTTGCTTGCCAAACAGCTTTATGAACGCCTCCGTCTTGCAACACCACGCCGGCTTTAGCAAACAGCCTGAAGCTACCCCCGTCTAAGTCAAGGGCCATTCCGCCGTCTTGGAAATGAAAGCCATCAGGCTTGGAAAAAAACATTTAATAGCCTCAGCGAATGCTTGGCTCAACCCAGCAGAGAGGGAATTCACAGAACAGGAGAATTCAGTCATCAGCACAAACCAGCTCTCCTCTTGACTGAGCGCGCTCACACCGAATTCCAAGAAGCTCCAATACATAGATTGGAAGTTTCTCTGGTTCGCTGGTGATAAGGGGTCCCTGGTGTGACTTCGTCAGAATACAAGATCAAGTTCCATGGCTTTTCGGGCGTCGATGGGCGAAGCATCAGCTGGCGCTTCAAGTACTTCCGAAAATTCGCACTCTCTCCGGCAGCTGCCGCTAAGGATGCGAACGGACAGGCGATGGGCATGCTAGCTGGTTCTTCCTCTGCATCAGTGCACGTGAAGCTTTGCACTATAGGACCGTACTGGCCGACAGTTGTGGTAACAGCATCCCTCGCGGCACGCATGGAATTCCGATCTATGACTTCTGGGAGACCATTGCCCCTCACGTCCGCCAGAATTGCCGCTAAAGCAGAAGCCGCACAGTGAGGCTTGCAACGACGGAACTCATTAAGCCTGCGCAGCTTAGCAGCCCGCGGCGGCTGCGTCCGAAACTGC